AGGAGATATAGGTTTGTCAACACATTTATTAGGCTGACATAAGCATGACTTTTGAGGCATAATAATTAATAAATAATCAGGTGAATTTATTTTATTAGTCAAGATAGTACTTTTTATATATAATTAATTAGTCTGCAAATATGTTCAAATGATGCTTAAAATAATAGAGATTCTATTATATAGTATCTACTGCTCTCTAGTCAAACCATAATATTAAAAAAAGTATAATTATTTTCTGAAGAACAATAATATATATTTGTTGAAAGTTGATGCTTAATTAGCTAATAATACCCATAATCCTTACAATATATTAATTAAATTCAAGTTTCAATTATATTTGAACTTTTATTCAGTGGATTACGATTACTTGTTTTAGAATCATTCAATGGAAAATGATAATTGATGGCAGAGGACGGTTTTGATATTGATAAATAACGAATATTAGTTTATTATAAAATGGACTCAAGAGTAAGCGATCTAAATTAGATCAATTAATTAATTAATTTTAAATATTATTATATGGAAATACAGGAGAATTTAGGGATATTATAGAATAATATTGAACTTATTTTTAATAACCATTTGAGCCCACCAAAGCGTGTGTTATTGTCTCTCAATTTTTAATTGGATAGCTTTGAATAAGGATTTTAATTGGATAATGTTTGAATGAGAGAAACCTACTTTCTCCTAACCTTCGCCCTTATCGTGAATAGGGATCTTAATTTTTTTTTTTTAATTTAAATTCTCTAATTATTAGAGGCCGTTCGTGTTCATGATAAGGGAAGAAATATGCATGGTTATGCTTTAACTTAATAAAATTACGAAATAGTATTATCTTCTAATTTTTGGCAAATTTATTTCTGAACTAAGAATGAAATTACAAATTGATATGACATCGGATGCTTCTCCAAAGTTTCGGTAACGCAAGGTGTTTAAATGAAGGCATGGTTCAAATGACCCTACAATGATAAAGACTTCGTGACATTTTTCATAACTAATTAATTAAGAGTTACATCATTACAACTAATTGATTTAAAATGCCGATGATATGGTTTCTCATAAAATAAATTAAATGTAAAATCAATCTTTCAACGAGCACAGTATTTTAGCACAAAGTTGTCCCATAAATTTGTCACTTTACTCGTTAATTTTAACAAGAAAAACTTATTTTCAATCAAACAACCACCGATTCTGAGTGATTGAGGGTTTGATTAGAATTTTTTGATGTATTATTCAAGAGATCCTGAATTTGAGTTCTTTCTCGATTACTAATAGAGATAGCTACTGAAGCTTTTAATCGGACTGTAGTTCTAGCCTTCCAAGGTCCCGGTAGATTAGTTGAGGTGTGGGTAAGCTAGTCCGAACACTCCCAATCATTAAAAAAAAAATTCACTAATCAAAATACAAAAAAAAAAAAAAAAATGTGTTGGATAAGTGCTTCATTACTAAAAGAAATGAAAGGGTTTCCATCATGAATCTCTATTTAATTATTTACTATTCAAAGCAAGACTATATTTCTGGATTCAAACAAACAGATTCATCCAATATATATAAGACCAACGATAATTAAATACAGAAGTTCAAGGTTCCACTTGTGTATTGAAAGATTGGTTTAATAAATTAATCCTCAGTAAAACAAAAATTTTTGTGGGTACTTAATAAGTGTTTAGTCTGTATAAGAAAATAATTATAAATGGCCACAGAATAATAAACTATTGGTAGCCTTTCTTGGTTCGGCTTGGTGATGTTTAGGTATTACGTACTTGATTGATCATACACATGTCATATTAATTTCTAAGAGAGAATGAATCAAAATTAAGGGTATATAACTACTTTCGGGTGATGGAGTAGTTCGACATAGACTCTTAGATTTATTATTCAAGAGGTCATTATTTTATGTCCTTAATAAAGACACGTAACACAAATCACGATCTAGCTTAGATTATTGAAAGCTACTTGTTATTCCTTGTAGTTGTTTCCAACCCATGCCCCTACATTTAAGTCATTCTTAGCCAATGGGATGATCCAACTAAGTCGCCACTAATTTTTCTGTTGTCATTCGTCACTCTTAATCGCTAAGATAAGTCATGAAATGAACTTCTAAATATTTGACAGTTCAATTGAGCCTTTGAAGTTAGAAAAGGTTGTATCACTCACACCTCTTTGTGTTATTAATAGACCCTCTAAGTTTGAAAACTTTATCATAAATACCCATTTGCCCTAACTCCATTACATTGTCATTAAATTTACAAACACTTTTTTATAAGACCAAAATTACCATGTTACCCCAACAATTTCTTATAAGACCAAAGTTACTATTTCATTTATTTACCACAAACAATAACATAAGGCAAAGGAATATCTATGATACAAATTTCAAACTTTTAGGGTCTATTTAATTAAACATGCGAAAGCTGTTATTTGAATATAAGTTTAGAAACCTTAAATGTGGTCTATGATATTCTCCCAATAACAAAGCAATGCATGGCTCGTGCCTCCCTCAAAATGATTGATCTTCCATCACTCTCTGAATTTGATTATAAAAACCATAAAAATAGGTGCTTGGTGTACAAGGAACCACAAAATACCATTAATTTCTGTTCATGTTTACAGATAAGTGGGTCATAAACTATTTATCTCCATATAATCTTTGCATACTCAATCTCTAATTGTATATTCTTTGTCTATTTGCTGCTATTATTGTACATTATTTTCAATATTGTAGTCGTGGAATAAGACAGCTAAGAAAATGAGTTTGTTCCTACCACTAATTGAAATAGTCCGAATCCAACTAAGAAAATGTAACCCATTTTGGACTAGTTTATAAGGCTTTAATTTTAGGCTATACCTAAGTTTTTTTCACTCAAAATACGTTTATTGCAAACTTAATAACTCTATAGTCTTTTAGTATTGATATTATACAGAATGAGAAAAATAGATTATACAAGACTTGTAATAATCGACTCTAATTTTATTTATTTTATTTTGATTTTTGTCTTTCAATTATCATGGATTTAATTTCGATTTTAAACGTTAAGACACTTGTGCTGTAGGTTTCTTAAATTAGCAATGTTTAATTGCTTAGTGTGGAAGATAAAGTTTTCCAAATGATGAAAAAAAGGTGAGCATCGTTATCAAGAATCTGATCCTGCTTGAACTTGTACGGAATGGTTTAATTTGTCTGTGAGGATTGCCTAGGCCTCAAGTAATCACTATAAATAATAAAATGATCATATTATACGACAACGTTTGTGGGTTGATTTTGTTTGTCATTTTTGTTACAAACATTTGAAATCAAAAGTTGACTCTTGAGTCTTGATTTGATCATCCTTAACTAGTTAAATTAATTGCTTCCCTTCAGCCACGATCTTTCGAAACAATTTGATACATGTCCTTTTAGTTATCTTTTATATCGCTTAAGAAACATTTTAGCTTTATCTTCTAATTCTAACTATGACATAATTATTAATCGGCGTGTTTGATTTATAGAATATTATATTATTAGGAATATTATATTATAGTGAATATTATATTAATAGAAATATAGATTACTTTGAAGATTATTAGAAATGTTTAGAGAAATGTGTTTAGTTAGATTTGAATAAATTGGTGGATATGTTATATTAATATGTTTGGTTGAGAGGATAAATTGGTGGATATGTTATAAAGATTACTAAATTGTCATCCTTTTTAAATATTAATATGATATCATTTTTATTATTAGTTTTTAAATCATTTCTTTTAAAGCTCTACATTTGAAATTTTGCTAAAACACCACAATCATATAAAACTTTGATTTATAACAAAATCACCCCCATCTACTGCCAGCAACCAGCCACTACCGCCTAGCCGTTGCTGGAATGGCGCATGACAGGTTGTGCGCTGGTAAAGCCTTTTCCAGCCATGAATTATAGATCAATGGCCGTTTCACAATCAAATTTGTGCCAATTTTATAGTCACATCCTTGACCATGAAACGACCATCGTTTCACGACCACATATGTGGCAGTTTCACATCCACATCTTTGGCTGTGAAACAGTCGTCGTTTCATGGCTAGATCTATTGTCGTTTCATAGCCACAATCACATCTTTTGTTATGAAATAGCCAAATCTGGCCATTTCCGTGTGATCCATGGCTGAAAACGGCCTTACTGGCACACAATTGGTCAGATTCGGCTAGTTGTGCACCATTTTGTCGCCAGCCGGTGACGAGTGGTGGTGGCCAGATCCGACCACCACCCTTAGGTAATTTTTTAAAGTCCAAGGGTATTTATGTCCTAAAAAATTTGTATATGAGGATAAAATAGTATATGAAACCATTTGTAAATTAATTTCAAAATAAAGATATTTTTGTCCAAAAATTTTATTATTAAGAGATAAAATTATAATAAAAATAAGATTATCAAGTAGTCTTAAAATATCTAAGAGAATAAAGGTAATTAGATTATCTCTTATATTACTAACAATAATTATTATTGATTTTAAAAGATTACTGAAATCTTATATTACTTGACAACCAAACATAATAATCAAATAATATAATATGACATTAACTCAGTAATCCCCGTTACCCCAATCAAAGACAACCTAAAAGTTAGCTCAGAATACAATTGAATCCATTATTATTGTGGAGTTGTAGGATGCAAAATTAGAGAGACAAAATTGGGCCGCTTGATTCAAAATTTTCCCTGTGAGGTCCATAAAACTACAGTAGGTGTTGTATAATTGGAAGACGAATTCATTTTCCACCAATTCAGTTCTCTGCATTCTTTATAATTAATTCAAATTCTCAGTTTTTATTTACTTTTCCTCAATCCATACAACCTAAATTCAAATCTATAAAATCACTAAAGGTCAAGACATATTCAGTAGTAAACTCAATCGTTCACTTGAGTTTTCGGACTTCCCTGATCAATTTTTCGCACAAACAATTACCAAAAAAGAGAAAAAGAAGAGATTAAACAGGGAAAGACAACATAATAAACAATCAACTTGTGAAAAATTAATATTTACATTAAATGATTTAAAATGTCACATATACAGTTATAACCAACAGAACCTAGAGTTATGGAAATGAATAGAAATTAAAGGGAAGAGCACCTCGAATCCCTGCTGCTTTGATAATTTCTTTAGTTTGGGTGACTGCACCGCTAAAAGAATATATATGTTCAGCTGCATACGACTTCCACTGCTAGTTTCTTTTTAGTTTCACGCGTACAATATACCTTATCGAAAGTCTCGTCTGTTAGTTCTATGGCACACTCATTTTTATTCAAGCACGCCTGTAATAATATTAGGTTAAAAATGTCAAGGCATTCAATATGATCATAATTTAAGATGTTGCTGAAACATAAGGTATACGTTTTTGTAGGAACAAGTTAAGAAAGCATTATTACCATCTCAATCACAGAAGTAGAAGTAGGATCATGACAATGTCCCATCCTATAGGATCCACATGTTCCCTCAGGATTTCCAAAACTTGCAAATTTTACTTCCGAGATGCTACCGTTCTTGGGGCACTTGAGATTCACAGTTGCCGAGGGGTAATCTTCGCCAACAAGTGCACACATACCTGAGATTTTACGTTTTGCAAACTTGATTTTTGTTGGATCTCCACCTTTCTCCTCGAAAATAACTAGAACATTTCCAGTTGGCTGGAACCAAGACCGTGGAATATGGTACCTGATCAATTCAGATGAATAGAAGACTTATCTACAGTGAATATAGAATCTGCCATGCATAAATTGAAACTGAGATATAATATTCTTTTAATTGTTGGATAGAAACTGTATATTGTCTAAAACTATAGCTGATTAAATGACTTTTTCATTAACCAATCTTATGTAGTTGACTTTTAATTTGCGAAAAATTGGTGGATAGTCATGGAAGTTCTACTAAGGAGTTTTGTTAGAGCAGATTTGATATAGTTTATAAGTAAGAAAACAAACAATTAATGCATGAATTCTTAGTTCTAAATTTAGCATTTTTTTTTTTTTCTATTCAAGTTTACCATCTTTGTGTTGGCTCTCCACATCCAGTGGAGCATTTCCACTGGGAGAACGTGCCTCTATAATCGCATTCTTGAACACACTGATCGTCAAGAGGGCTTTCCTTGGGCCAGTATCTTCCAATTTCTTCTCCATTTAACCAAGCTAGACCTTTCCCCATGGCAAGCATATCCAGAGCAATAGGATCCTCCCCTGATGGTTGGTCAACAATAGTCTGCAACAGTTCTTTAGGTTAATACTCTTATTAAACACAAATTCATGTAAAAGGTTGTTTATAATATGAGAGGAAACCATTATATATATCACTAGAATATACCTTGTACCACGTCAAAGGCTGATTTTTTGGTGGTTCTGTAGTTGATCCCCATTTCACACAATTCACGCAATTTGGCTTGTATATACCTAGGCTTTCTCCTTCCAATCCTATCTGGAAAAATCATGAACAAGGATGTAAGAATTTCACAATTTTAAAGACTAATCTCCATTAATTGACATTCAAGGCAATCTTCTACGATGTTCCCAACATTTGAACACAAAAAGATTGAATTGCAGTAAAGAGAAGCTCCCATCCAGCAAACGGTGGCACTTCAGATACAATGTGCCCTTCATCAATCATATCATTTTTTTGTCAGTCTTAACAATATTTAAGAAACAATGGGCCCAAGATCTGTAAGGGCAGTAGGCAAAGAAGTAACAATAATCATGATAACGCAGCGGCCAATAACTATCATCCAGGAATTTTTTTTTTAAATCAATAAAACCTCCTTGTGCCCTGAGTCCCCCCCCAAAAAAAAAAAAAAGGGAAAATCATCTAGGAAGCCAGAGGGTACTAAATATTTAGTAAGCAATAATGTGCATGAGATATTAAAGATGTTGCTAATAGCGCAATTTGATCACAAACATTCACCAAAGCAGTAAAGTGTTTTGCATGACTGTCATATGAACAAAGCAAAACCCCACTATTTGAAAAACATATTAGGATTCTTTTTAAAATCCAAAAGAAAAGAAATGGAGCCGTAATTGACAGTAGCCTAAACTTTTGATGGGACCTTCTGCAGTAATTTCTATAATCTTCACTTATCAACCCCATTCTTCCATAACTGATAAGCAAGAGACAAGCAATTAAGAAAATGAAATCCTATTAGGTTAGATATTGACTCTCTGCTAAGTGGCCTTACGACTAAATTATTTTCCAACTTTTAAAGTAGCATGAGATAGAACTTGGTATACAAAAGGAAGAAATTAAAATACCTTGTAGTTCCAACTACTCAGTGTGAAGTCAACTGTCCCATTGCTGAACCCGTCAATCTTGACACTAGTTAGTCCTGATCCCATCCATTCATAATATAAACCCGCACTCTAGAACCCAAAATAAGAATTTTAAAAAATTATATAAAAACAATTAAAGTTACAGTAGATATTATTACATCAAACTGTTGACATTTAAGTACATCAAGACAAGTAACTTACCGGTAAACCGAGAGTCATGCTTAGTAAAGAAATGTTATTATTCCCGGCTTTCAAAGGGACAGGTTTCTTAAATTTGAAGGCCGGCCCTGTATTAGCTCCATCTGGACTACCTAATATTTTTAAATGAAATATAACTACTCAAAAAATGAACACCAAATGTCACCAATAATAAAAACTTTAGGATTGCATAAATATATTATTTGGAAAGATAAAGTCAACAGTTTGATAACCTAAAATTACAATGAACCATCATTTCTTAATCATCACATTCACAAAGCCAAAAGTTATACCATTCTTTGTCATGATGATAAATCATTGTCAATACTATATTTTCTAGAACCATGATAATACACACTTTTAAGTTTTTGCTATTTTACCTAAGATAATTGTCGAAGCATTAAAAAGAAAGTCAATTTCAAACTAAGTAAAGATAGCCAAGACATTTTTTATAGTTTTGAAGTATATATCTTCTGACCTTTAGAAGTAAATGATACAATAACTTTTAAGAGCTCCTCTTCACCAAAAGTTTGTCAATTAAAATATCTAGAATTCTAAAGATAGAAAAAGTTCAAGAATTTTTAAATTTGCATGATTTATACTTAGGGAAGAACAAAATGACTATATCCAAGAACTTATACCCCATGTGATATTCAGACATAGAACAAAATAAATTGATTGTTGATTCATAATTTCTATATAGATGAAAAACAATAAGCAAGTCATAAAATAAAAGTCATGCAGCTCAAAGAGAACCTTGCGAGAAAACAAATACAAAAATAAAACCTTTAAGTTCCCCATTCACAAAAACATGGAGTGCATGACCCTTTGATTCAATTTGAAGAACTGGGAGGTTTCCTTTCTTTAAGAACTCTTCATCTTCATTAACATAAAAACTGTCATCATGGAAAAACTTTAGTTTGAAAACTATATAATACAATAATAAAAGCTCTGATTCAAAAGCCTGTTTCATTTTACTTATATGTCCACTTGTGGTATGGAAAGAGAACATGAGTATTGAAAATTCACTATTACAAGAAAGAATGCAGACAATGAAAAAACCACAACAAAAAGTAGGGATTAAATACCCTGCAAAATTCAAATGAGAGAAAGCACATTGGACACATAAGACCAAAAAGAAAAATAGTATTCATATGATGATCTATGTTCCTGCATAAGCAATCAACTTTAGCAGGCGTTCAAAAAACAAGTTAATCAAAATCTTACAGGTAGCATAACTCAATATGTATATTTAAGAAATAAAAAAAATAAAAAATAAAAAATAAAATTTTTTGTCTTCAACCCTCATCTATCCTCCCCATATCAACTTTTGAAAAAAAAATTAATTGATAAAATTGTGTCATTAACTTATTTTGAGGTAGAATGAGACTAACCTTGTATTGTACCAGAGGTAGTCAGAAGCAAATTTTGTTGTATCAATGTGATCCACAAGACCATTTTGCATGAAGTCAACTTGTCCCCAGATCCCAACTTTCTCCTCAAATATTTCCCATTTCGTAGTTTGCAAATTCTCAGATACCATTTCAACTCTTGAGGTTGGGGAAGTTACCTGTAGAATTCTGTGTATAAGTATAGCAGTGATTAAGAGTAATAATTACATGCAACATATTATGATTTTATGGACCACTTCCCTTCAAGAGAAAGAACCTGATGAGTATACAACATTCAATAAAATGACAGCATAAGAAAGAAAATATGCAAGAGTTACCTTTGCAGAATTAAACACTACATTCTTGCAGTCAGGCAAAATGCTAACTGACCATGCAGGTAAGTGATATGAAGCATTTCGAAACTCCACTATCATGTCAGTTTTGTTATCCATGTTAGACAGAAAGGCAGCACATGCTCCTGAAGAATCAGTATAGACATCGGCCTGTACAAAACAGTTGTTATATTATGTTAATAGAACCAAATTGCAGAATGGATTGAAACAACATTCATGTAAATTAGAATGTTATTATGTAAATTAGAAACCAATTGGGGAATGGATTTAAAGAACATTCATGTAAAATGGAATTTGATGTCAGAATAACAGAACTATAAAAAATGCCAAAGTAAAAAAAGTGAATTAATGCTTTAAAATCCATTTTGGGAACTACAATTTAAAAAAGATTCTAAGATCTAGAAGTTATTAGAATAAAAATAAAAAGAAAGATAATTCACCTCTTGGGAAGGACCAAGTGACAAGTTAATTGGCCCACTATCCAACACTACTTGCTCACATAACTTTATAGCTCTATGAAGATCTTTGAGGTGTCCCCATTTTGGATTTCTTGGTAAACCTAAAAACTATTTTATTAATTAAGAATACACCAGCTGGATACAATACATATCAAAACAGTAGAATCATGGGCATACTAATTATCAGAGACAACTCACCATATTCATCAATTGGTGCATCATAATCATAACTTGTGCTAATATAAAGTCCTGCTGTCCGACCAAAATTTGTTCCACCATGATACTAAGCCATATGAAAGAATTAAATTAATGACAATGAAAACAAAAACAAATAAGATATCACATTTTTCAAACATTAGTCATTCAACTCAATACTTCAAGTAACAAGTAAAACAAATGCTACATCATTTGCATGAAACAGAACATTAATTAATTACCATGTAGTAATTTTGTACACTGCCACCTCTTTGAAAAAAGCGAGCAACAGAAAAAGCGATATCTTCAACTGGTCTATGCGGCACTTTGCCCCCAAATGTTTGAAACCTGGAAAAGGTAAAGTGTTGATTGTATTATGCTCGATTAGAAATCCAAAAATTGTAATGCTTGATCAATAAATAATTAGAGTAAGATAAGAAAATCAAAATTGATATGCAAAGACGCATCTAAAAAGCATAACAAATTCAAAATTACCATCCAGGCCAATTCTCTGTCCAAATTTTGGGCTTGTTTGGTGAAGTAGGTGTGAATTGGTCACAATAAAAGGAATTACAAGTATCTATCTGTCAAAAAATAAAAATAAAAAGAATGATATCTTTTAGCTAATTGTATTATTGTCTTTGATCGAAACATAAAAAAAAAAAATGTATGCACTTTTTAGGAAGTATTATAAGATTAATTTGTTAGACAATGCAATACAGAATATTACTAGTGAACTTTCCAGGATATATATATATATATCAAAGTAATATAAAACGGAACTGTATTTTGATTGTGATCGGTTGGATCCAACTCTAATGGAATAAGTGGTAAATCCTTAAAATCTACATGAACCTGATCTAATAGAGATTACTAATACACTTTTTATATGCACGTGATGTGTATTAGATTCGAAACAGATATGCAGTCTTACAAGAGGTTCATTTCCATGTCATACATGTCAAAACTAATATGTCTACATTATTTGGCCAACAAAGCATAAGACTTGTTATTGCACTAATTATAAATATAATAAAGTTTTAATTAGATTTATAAAGGAAAATAAAAAGAATATACATAAAGTAAATAAAGATGTTGTCTTTTATATAAGTTAAATTGATGCAGATAACTAATGGTAGTTGAAAAGTTAGAAAATGGCTTAACCAGATAAAACTCTTACCACATAATCTGGAAGAGCAGTATATTGTTGGCACATTATCCACGGCACCCCTATGTTTTGAGAAAAAGCTGTTTGCATAGCCCATGAGGCATATCGATTCCCTGGTTCTCCGTAATTCATTTGATACCAACCATATTCATTTTCTACCTATAGTGAGAGAAAGACATTGAATGCAATATCAAGCTGTCAGAGACACGTAAGAAGAAAAACATAACAATAAATAAAAATTAGACCAAACGAGCGTATTTGATTGAAAACAAAACAGAGAATATATAATAACATTCACTATTCACAAAGTACTGATAATTAGTTAAGTTTGTCAAGTTCTATTAATATTTTTTATATTCTGTCAGTTGTTGTTAGCTCTGTCAGAAATTACAGCTGATTTTTAGGAATATGTTTCATTTGTATCCAGGCATTACTGCTTCATATATAAAGGAGCATCAATCAGTGAATAAGATGATCGCAAAGTTATTCCTAAATTCATGGTATTTTCTCTGATTTTTCTTTAAAGTCATATATAGATTAATATAACAATGTGATTCCAGTTAAACAAAACTCTAGGTGATTTTCCCTCAAAGCTAAATTAATTTAGAAATTAATGAGAAGCAAATTTTATTCCACTTCAAAAAAATTGATATTATCTATAATGCAAAGAAACAACTTTATCAACATAAATGCTCTGAACGGTATGAAAATAATACAATTCTGATTAGTAGTTTCTGTGGAAATATCATATGCAGAACAAGTTAAATTTATAATTCGGTTAAAAATGCTTAAATATGATTAAAATTTAATTCAGATCCTGAGAGTCAAAGACATTTGTACCTACTAACTTCAATCAGGTTAAAATGTGGAACTCACATCTATAACTTAAATAGAAATGGCAGAGTATCATTAAATTGCAATTGGGAGCCAACTTACTTGCGCAAGGATGATGGGACCTCCCTGTGATGCAAAAAGCTTCTCCTCCTTCATAAGGTCCACAATGACAGTCATAAACCTCTTCATGTAAAACTGAAGGCTCCCTCAACAAGGAGGAGATAGGAAAATCAGTAATTCCTTTAATATTTGTAAAGATTGTTGAACTGTACAGATTCACATCCTATAAAGTGACCAGAGAACGAAAATCAATTAGTTACCTTAAAGGGCTCACTATCAGTTCGAAAGAAGCTGCCTGGAATGTAGTGCAACCAAACAGGTATCCCTCTATAACATATGATCAACATATTCAGATTTCATAAAAAGAAAACAGAATTGAAAGAGTTTATATTAAATTAACATGAAAAAGTACCCCAAATTATACTCAGCAGCAACAAACGGGCCAATTCGCAGAATCATATACATCCCAGCATCTTGAACTATTTTCACAAACTTGACTAGATCAAATCGTCCCCCGAAATAATACTTGAAGTTCCAAAGTTAATAGAAGGTTAATAACTTAACCAACGGTGTTAAATACAAATAATGCATATCTTATATTTAATATTTTCTATTCATTTAATGAAACTCACTTTGCCTGGGGAAAGCTCATGACCATTCCAAAACACATATGACTCAATAACATCGGCTCCTCCTTCCTTTGCCGTTTGCACCAGCCCGGGCCACATCTACCACATACCAGATATATACTAAGATTATTTACCTTTCAAAAGAGCAAGAACAGTGAACAACAGAAACAGAGTAAACAGAGAAACAACCAAAATTTACTTTTAGTTCGTAGAAGTTAATTTTTACATCATAATATACGATAATTCAATCCTTTTGAGTTTCTAGATACTATAGGATACTATATATTCTGAAAAGGTAGAAAAAAAGAAAAAGGTAATCACCGCAGGAACGCTGCGAGGGTAATGAATGGAAGCAGAAATGAGAAGCTTTCGTTGTCCATTAATGATCAAAGAGCGTTTATCAAATGTCACATTTCCAGCTGAACAAAATGTGAAGAAAGTGGAGAAGAAGAAGAAGAAGAAGAAAAAGAGAAGGAGTGGGAAGAGCTTCATGTTCGTATGTAATGAGAAACTATAGTATTTGCATGAGATTTATAGAAAAACTGAAGACTTAAAAGATTCTTTGACGTCAACAATAATATCACTGAGAATAAACTCAGAATAAACTGCCAGTGAGCTTATCTGGTTGCAGCAACTTCTTAAAGATTTTCAAGTCAAGGTTGATTCTCCTGGTTTGCTATATTGTGACAATCAAGCTGCGATACATATTGTCTCGAATCCAACCTTTCATGAACGCACTAAGCATATCGAGATAGATTGTCATTTTGTTCGTAAAAAAGTTGTTTCGGGAATTCTCAAATTGCTGTCCATTAGATCTCAATGCCAATTGGCTGACATGTTTACTAAACCCCTTTCATCTACTCAGCTTTTTTCTTTGTTGTCCAAGATGGCCGTAAAGGACATTTATAAGCCACCTTGAGGGGGAGTATTAGGGTGTAAATATTGTAAATAATAATTAGTTGTTAATCTACATATTAATTAGATAGTTAGTTTTCTAGTTACGCTTCCTGTTATAACTAATTCATTATAATAGTAGCTATTTATATAGTTGGCTTCTGTATTGTTACGATTAATAAATAATAGATCATTCTTTTTTCTCTCTCTTCTTCTTCTCGAGCTTAATAAAAATAAATAAAATCTTAACAATTGATTTAGAGTAATCACATGATAAAAGATAGTATTGGGATAGACTTCTATCCAACTAGTTATAGGATATAAATTCAAATGGGTTAAAAAAGGAAGAAAAACAATTAATGGATAAATTCTCACACCCCCCCGAAGTTTATCTTATGTAAATAAACCCCTTGACGTATAAGTAATAAATAAGGGAATAAACCTGACGCATAAGGTATAAGTATTAAGTAATAGCTAAAATCTATCACAAGACAATGACAGAGAGGTAAATACCTGAATTACCCTTGTTACTCTTAAGAATTACTTTTGTACCCCGCTCATCCTTTCCCGCCAATAGCCCGACCTTCACGCCATCCAGACAAGCAAAAACCACCGCAACAGCCTCTCATCCATTCAGTTAAACCACCACCACAACAGGATCCCCACCCCGCGAAAAAGCGTCCACCCTGGTGGCCGTGAAACGCACACCTGAACAGCCAACAAACCCAACTCAACACAAAATGAACTGACATCACCATAACGACCGTTGGAAGCCACAAAAAAATTAAAAGTAAAAAAGGGAAGGTACGAACTATTGGTGTTTGGGCGATGGCTGGGATGGTATCATGGTAAGAAGGTGGGCGACTGCTTGGACGGTGAAGTGGGGCGTGGCGGGCACGGCATGGCATGGCACGACGGTTTGAATGGGTAGGCTGTTGCGCAGCACAGTTGTGGAGGTGGGGAAGGGCGATGGAGGGAGATGATGACGGCGAGGCGGTGAGGCCGTGCAGACGAGCTAAGGGAGATGGAAACGGCGCTTTTGGGATGTGGAGGTGGGTGTTGTAAGCAGGGGAAGGGTTTTATTTTATTTTATTAAATTTAATTTATAATTGATAAAGAAATTGGATAAATTAAGCTCCTTTTTTACCCGTTCTGTTAAAACTAACTGACATTAACATGAGTGTTGTGGAGGTTTTGTACAAGGATGTCAGTGGAGGGTGTTGCGTTGGAAACTCACTGGCATCTAGGCCTATGTCGACCTCTTCTATGAATATCACAATAATATTCATTTTAAAAAATGGAGCGGGTTTGGGTTTGGATTATCTTTTTATTAGAAAGCCTTAGATCGTATAATATTTCTTAGAATAAATTAATTAAAATAATAAATAATAATGTTATCTAATATGGATATTAACTACTTAACTTATTTTGAGACTTATTAGTAGGAGTGTTCAAAAGAACCGGTTGGAACTGGAACTGGCGAATATTCGGGGTTTGGTTCCGGCTTCTACCCGAAACCAATTGTCAATAGGTAAGTTTTTGAAACCGAAACCGGAAACCGAGACTAATATAAAATAAAATTAAAGATTAGGGGGGTTAATAAAAACTTTTGTAGAAAAAGTAATATGAATACATTTATATTTATATTTCATAACATTTAAAGTAAGTTAGTTTAACTTTTGAGAATTTACTTTTACAAAGTAATGGAGTTTGTAATTTTGAATTTATAATTTGTAATTTTATTTTTGTTAACAAGTGTCAAGTGATGGGGTATTTGTAAGTTTTTAAGGGTGTTTTTGCTATTTTAAAAACTTTTGGGGGTCATTGAATTTTACAGGGTACCTAAAACCGGAACCGTTGTTACATGTTCTAGTTCTGGGTACCTAGGAACCAAAACCGTCAGTTCCGGTTCTGGTTCAAATTTCAAGGAACCGTCTGTTTCTATTCCTGTTTCGGTTCCGGTTATTTAAAAAAAATGTAGGGTACCCGGAACCGAACACCCTTATTCATAAGTGATGAAAATGACAAGAAATTAGTTTGAAGTCAATGAAAAAATAAGGTTGTGGTAGTTAGGGTTTTCTTTTGTTTGAAAAAAAAAAAAGAGTAAATAATATAACTTTTTATAAATAATATTTATAATTTTAATATTATTATTATATATAATTATTTATTTATAATTGTATATTTTTTGGAAGGATGGGCCCTGTATGGTCAAAGTAGCATTCTCAGCTCCAAAATATTTTGAATCAAGATATTCAAACCCAAATCCGCTCCAACTCCAAATTTTTTATTATCCAAATTCAACCTATTAAGGGCGGGGTTTCTAAGAGCCCCCAAACTCATGGGTCATTTTGACATCCTTACTTTTAATAATATAACTGGTAAAAATAACATTTTGAATAAGGCTAGATTGCGCCTAAGGTTAGGACGGCCTTATCCGGGCCTGGAGGCCTCAACCAAGTGCTACCGCCTTGGGTGCAATCTAGACTAGGGGTGAAATCGAGTCGAGTATTTGGTAAATCGAACTCGACTCGATCGTTACAGTACCGAGTCTGAGTTCGAGTTCTTCGGTACTTGAAATTGGAAATTGAGTTCGAATTCAAGTTGGTATAATCAAGTTTTAATAGAGTTTGAGTTTGAACTCGATTTCGAGCTTCAACAAGGGTGGATTTGCAAATTTTATCACTATTAAATTATATATGACCCCTATTACTTAAAAACTATCAACTTAACCATCGAGCTTGAAAATACTCACGAACATATTGAGTGGAGTTCTATTGTGATCGAACTCGACTTGATTAACTATTTGAACTCGAATTTGACTCGACTAATGTCGAGTCAAGTTCGAACCAACATCAAGTCGAGTTTGAGTAGCTCGCGAGCTTGGCTCGACTCGATTTTCACCCCTAATCTAGACCAAATCGCAAATAGCATGGCAAGTGGCAACCTTGACCAAGCTATCACTTGGGTAAGAAGCGGCCCATGGCCACCACTGCCTATAATTATATTTGTTTATTTTAAATTTTTACTTGTTATATTGAAATTTTATTTTTAATTTAAATCAAAATTAATTATATAGGGGTGTTTTTTGTATTTTATAATCGTATTATTGAATCTAACTGCAAGTCACCATTGAATATTTTTTTTGATATAAATATAAACTTGTACCCTTTTTTTCATTAAATTTAAAAAACAAATGTCATTTAAATGATTATACCCCCAAACAACACATATATTGTATATACCGATTTATTCAAAAGGTCCACTTGAAATTTCTGAAAATTAAAAACATGTTTTGACATAGAATTTAGAAATATATCTTTATTTTTTTTACAATACAAGAGACATAATAAATTTACGAAAATACATATAATTGATATGTTTTCAAAAACAATTTTTGAATACAATCTTAAAAACTAAACACTAAATTACAAAATGAAATAAATTCATAAATATTAGTTTTTTATAATTTGTAATCTTGAACATTATATAAAAAAATAAAAAAAAATCGAATAATTAATATCTCTTTTTAAAAAAAAAGTTATTATCGGATGACGGCCCTCAATGTTATCCTTTAGATGTGTAACCAGGAATAATGTTACGTTACACATCTAAAAGAAAGAAGCATTAGATTTTGACGTGCTACCTAACTCCCAACTTATACATTATTTTTACTTCACGCTCAAGACTTTCGTTGAGAGATGGCTACGTTCACGACAAAGCTCATCATTGTCTTCTTTCTTTTATGCTTCTATCACTTTACTTTCAAGGGGTAGCAAAGATAGTCTTATAAGTT